GTTTTTGAGAAATTTAAATCTCTTAAACTACAGTATACTGATTCTTGGAATTAGACTATAAGACAAGATTTGCAGACCTCATATTCGCTGAAATACCCCAAAATTAACAGGATTAGAAGCATTGATGGGATTAGAAGGGTCACAGATTTTCTGTATGCAACATGAGGATATAAGGGGGACCGGGAGCCGCATATTAGGCACAAGTTCTCGGAATGAAAACTTTGGTCCAAAACCAAAGGAATTAATGCACAACTTGATTACAGAAATTGTAATGGATATAGGATGACAACTACCAAACGACGGAGTTTAAAAATCACGATTGGGGAAACGTTATGCACAAAAGCCCGCAGTCCTGGGTTTTCCTACAAGATATTCCATCTTGATTCTCTAAAAATAAAGTCTAAATTCTTGTTGATAGCCCCACTATATCAGTCGTTCTATTAGAGGTTTTACGATATCAATTTTTAATGACTGATGTTCATAAAAGGGACATAAACGTTTCATTATCAATAAATTCTGTTATCACTAATTTCAAAGTTTTGAAACAGGAAAAAAGTTTATGTTTCAAAAAATTGATATTTATCTGAAATTTACAAAAAAAATGCTCTTGCTAAGATTTGTCTCAGTATTCCTCCAAAACCAGACACTTTCCAAAAATTCTAATTTCAAATTTAGAATCTCCATAGTCGAAAATCTCAGAATCCAATTTTTCAAAAAAAAAAAACAATCCTCTAATTCCTTCTAAGTGTCTAGAAAAATACTGCGCGCGCGCTTTGCAAAAGGGGGCGGAGCGTCCCACTTGTGTTCTTGCTGTCTCTGTGTCTCTTCCCTCCCCACACTATCTCACTCTTTCCTCTTTTTTCTGTTTGATCTGTGTGATCGATCTTGGCGGCATTTGAATGTTTTTAAATCGTATTTTTCTATTTTTTCTCTGTCAATTCTATTTTTTCAAATTTCCCGCTAATTTCCAGCCAATTTTCAGCCCAAAAAAAATGTCTGAAATCATTCCAATAGTTCAAAAATCGAGAAAATCGGATAAAAATACGTATAAATGGGACAAATTGCTGCATGAATGCGAAAAACGAGACGCCACTTTTTTATCAGTCGACGCCGTTAGAAATAGTCTTCTGGAGAATTTCGATGAGCTCGTGGAGAACGGTGTAGCTGTGCGTTTTATTTTGAAATATACGAAAAACTGAAAAAATTAAAAAATAACCCAAAAAACCATGGAAAATCGATTCTCCTAGTGGAAAAATGGCTTAAAATAGCTTTTAAAAGAAGCTAGCCTGTAAAAAGAGCCCACCAACTTTGAGTTGATTTGTCTTGGTTACTGTAAAAGATATCAAAAAGTAGTCAACTGAAAAAATGTTTATCATAATGTCAGTAACACTTTATCAGTTGATTACTTTTTGATATCTTTTACAGCAACTGAGATAAATTGGGTTAAAGTTAACAAGACAAAAATTTGAAGAAAAAAGGAACAATTGAAAGTGATGGCCTAGAAATCCCAGACTAGGTCACACTGTATGTCAAAACGATAAACTGATTCTGCTGATTCCAAATATAATGTTGAGTTTTGAAAAAATAACCAAAACTCTGAAAACATAAAGATTCCAAAAATATGCCCAAAATAAAAAATGAACTTGTTAGAGCCTAGTTATGACCATCGGAAGTTGGTGGCCTAGAAATCCAAAGAATTTTCTAAATCATGTTATTTATCAAAATGACAGGCTAATCATACCAATTACAAATCTGTTTCCAAATCTCCGAAATGTCTATTTTGAGGCAAGTTAAAGCAATTTAAACTTGGTGGCCTAACTTTTCTGTTTGTGGCCTAGAAACCCAAAACTACTATTTCTAGGTCACATTAAATTATATATCAGATTTACACGGTGTTTATGACAATTTCAAATCTGTTTTCAAAATTTGAAAATCTCTATTTTGAGTCAAAGTTACAGGCATTAATAACAAGTGGCCTAGAAAATTTGGATTTCTAGGCCACCAATTTCAAATGGTTATAACTTGGTACAAAATAGAGATTTTCGAATTATTAAAACAGATTTGAAATTTACATTCCCAGCCTGTCAATTTGATATAAAGTATACATGACCCGGATACTTCTAGTTTGGATTTCTAGGCCCCCAAATGAAAAGTTAGGCCACCAACTTCAAATGGCTGCAAATTGGCTCAAAATGCTTTGTTTTCAGTGTTTTGCGCATTTTCAGAATCCTCAGATTTTTAGCTTTTTGTTGAAAAGTAATATTAAATAATTTGTTCGACGAACTAAATCGTTAAAATTGGATGAAAACTTTAAGCACTTTTTGAAACAGCCATAACTTGACTCAAAATCATCAGCTTCAAATTTCAAAAAGTTTATCGGAAATCTCGAATTTTCAGCTTTTTGGTATTCTCAAATTCAAGAACTAAATTTTTCAGTTTGAATTCAAAAATCGCGACTTTGACGAGCACCTCGAAGGAGGACTGGAGGCCAGATGGTTCGCGAAAATCATTAAGGCTTGTGGGTACCGGGTTTTGGCGGAGTTCGTTGGGACCGATGACAGATTCTGGGTACATATGTTGTCGAAAGAAGTGCACTATTTTGGATAGTAAGTTTTTCGTTTATTTGGAATTGAAGTTTTGAGATCTGGCAGGAAGTTTGAGTTTTTTACTGTTTTAAGCTGTCAACATCCAGATTTATTCAATTAGAATTAGATTTCTCAACGGATCCTTCAAGAGAAACTTGTCAAAATTATATATATAATCTTGAAGGGTTTTAAATTTCTTACATTTTGTCTTTTTTTTATTTTTGGAAAATTTCAATTTTGAAGAAAGTTATGAGCTCTGAAACTTTCCAGCACATCTGAAACGGACCCCAAAAATGAAAAGTCGTTCTACATGGTACCTAAATCGATTGCCTTGGATAATGAAGAGGATATAGACACTTTTGTTCAGGTATGTTGTTTTGAAGTCTGAAAATGCCAAAATTTTGGTCGGAAAGTCTGAAATTTTTGAACTGAAACTTCTGAAAAACTCAAAACTCCAAAAATTTTTTTGAATGTTTCAGAAAGTTTGGAAAATCGAAAAATTAAGAAACTATTTAATTGAAGATGTTCAAAATAATTCGGATATTCTAGAAATTTCAGAAATTAGAAAATCGTTATGATTTCGATTTTTGTAGTTTGTAGTTGTAGAATTCGCACCAGCCAACGGCAAGAATGTCATTGGAGCTAAACGTTTCATTTTCAGTGTTTCAGGTTCATTTTTGCTTATTTTTATTGTTAAAACCGAATTCCCCAGGAAAAACTACCCCTGAAATCATGAAAAAGCAAGATTTTCGTCATAACCGAGTTTTTGCATTTTCTAGGCCTCCATGGAAAAAGTTAGGCCACGAGTCATTTTGAGTCGGAAAAAAGTTTTCTAGACTAGTTGTTTTGTGAAGAATTTGAATTGTTTATCGAAAACTACTCCTGACATCAAGAAAAATCCAAAATTTCCCATCATGGCCGAGTTTTTGAAATTTCTAGGCCATTATGGAAAAAACTGAGCCACGGGTGATTTTGAGAGATTTTGTAAATTTTCACTATTAAAATCAAATTTTACATTAAAACTACCCCGAAAATCTGAAAAAACCAGGTTTTCCTTTGTGGCCGAGTTTTTAGGAATTACTAGGCCACCATGGAAAAAGTTAGGCCACGGGTGATATTGAGAGGTTTTTGTCAATTTTCACTATGAAAATCAAATTTTACATTAAAAATTACCCCTAAAACCGTAAAAAACCATACTCTCCGTCGTGGCCGAGTTTTTGGAATTTCTAGGCCACCATGGAAAAAGTTTGGCCAGGGGTGATTCCGAAAGTTTTTTGTCGATTTTCACTTTGAAAATTGGATTTGCCTTCAAAAACTACCTCTGAAATCATGAAAAAGCAAGATTTTCGTCATGGATAATTTTCTGAATTCTCTAGGCCACCATGGAAAAAGTTAGGTCACGGGTGATTTTTGCCGGGAAAAAAGGTTTTCTGGGCTAGTCTTCAACGTAAAAATTGAATTTCTCATCAAAAAATACTCTGGTATCATGAAAAAATGAGATTTTCCTTTGTAGCCAAGTTTTTGGAATTTCTAGGCCACCATGGAAAAAAATAGGCCACAAGTGATTTTGAGAGATTTATTAAGTTTTTGTTATGAAAATCGAATTTAACATATAAAATTACCCCTAAAACCGTAAAAAGGCAAGATTTTCTTCGTGGCCGAGTTTTTAGATTTTCTAGGCCACCATGGAAAAAGTTAGGCCAAAAAAGAAATTGACCAATTTTTGTCCTTTTTCACTATGAAAATTGGGTTTCCCATTAAAAAACTACCTTTGAAGCCGTTAAAAAAGCAAGATTTTCTTTATGGTCGAGTTTTTGAATTTTCTAGGCCACCATGGAAAAAGTTAGGCCACGAATGATTTTTAGTCGGGTAAAATGTTTTCTAGGTCAGTTTTTTGTGAGGAATCCGATTTTATAAGCGTAAAAACGCAAAAATTGTCGAGAAACTTGAAAAATTGAAATGTTTGAAACTTCAGATTTTTTTAAATTTTCAAAAAAAATTATCGGTTTTTTTCAGAACACCATCAACGAATCCCTCATCGGAAAACCATGTCTATCATCCACTTTCAAAAAAGAAGTAGATCAAATCTCGGTCCAAAAATTCCGCCCCGGTCAACGGCTCGAATTGCTCAGCTACAATAATTCGCAAGAGATTCGTGTAGCTCGGGTTCAGGAAGTGTGCGGACGACGAATGAATGTTTTGGTAGACCAAAAAGACTATCCAAGAGAGTTAGAAGAACCGGATGACGATCGACAGGCTGGAAATCCTGATGCACAGTTTTGGATCGATCAAGGAAGCTTCTTTATCTTCCCTGTGGGATTTGCGGCGGTTAATGATTATACGCTGATTGCGAAGAAGGATTATGTTGAGGTAATTGTTATTAACAAGAAGCTGAAAACATGAGAATTCTGAAAAAATGCTAAAAATTCAATTTTAAGCATTTTGAGCCGAGTTACAGCCATCTGAAGTTGGTGGTCTAGAAATTCACTTTTCTAGGTCACCTATCTCAAATGGATGTAACAATTTTTAGGCCACGTTGTATAATAAATTAACAAGCTAATTTTGGCAATTTTAAATTTGTTTTCAAATCTCAGAAACGTCTACTTTGAGCCAAGATACATCCATTTGAAGTTGGTGGCCTACAAAACCAAAACTAGGCCATCAACTCAAATGGCTGTAACTTTGCTCAAAATGGAGATTTTCAAGTTTTGAAAACAGTTTCAAAATTGTCATGAGCAGCTTGTCAATTTGATATACAATATGATTTAGAAATTCCAGTTTTGGGTTTCTAGGCCACCAACTTCAAATACTGATAACTTGGCTGAAAATTAACGCCTACATTTTTCATTTTTTGGCTTATACGTAAAATTTTGAGAGCTTTTGAATGATAATAATATCAACACCACAAAATTGATAATAAAATAGTTATGACCCCGTTTTTTGCAGCACACTAACAAGTTCGGTGGCTTAGGAAAACTTGGGTTTCTAGGCCACCAACTTCAAATGACTATATCTTGGCCATAAAAAAACGATCGAAATTGTCGTTTTCTTGACTTTTGTGTACAATTTTACGAGGTTTTAAATGATATATAAATCAAAATCTTAACTCGAACTAAAATTGATTTATGATCCTTTTTTTTGCAGCACACCAGCAAAATCGCACGCGCCATCTCAAAAGGAGAGGAGCCACCGTATCACGAGAACGACATCACTTTCGAGATGCTCGCACGAGAGCCAATAGACGCAGAGAAATGGAGTAAACTGGAAGTTGGGCAGAAGTTCGAGCTGCTCGACCCACTTTCTCAGCAATTCAAGGATCTCCACGTGGCATCGATTTTGTCGTTTTGTCAGACGAATGGATACTTGATCATTGGCATGGACGGACCACAGGCAATGGAGGAAAGCTTCCCAATCCACGTGGATAACGTTTGTATGTTTCCTGTCGGCTACGCGGAGAAGTATGGATTGACGTTGGCACCACCGGATAACTTTAAGGGAGATTTCAATTGGGAGGAATATTTGAGAAAGGAGAATGCGATGGCAATACCATTGGATATGTTTAGACCATGGCCTGAACAGGAGAGGATGAATAAGTTCGAGGTGAGAACTTTTTAAGACAATTTCTAAATTTTTATTTTGAGCCAAAAATTTGAGATCTGTTTTTAAAATTTGAAAATCTTTGTTTTAAGCCAAGTTACAGTCATTTAAAATTTGTGGCCTAGAAATCTCAAATTTATGAACACGGCCAGATAATTCTAGATCATGCTGTATATCAAATTGACAAGCTAATCATGACAATTCCAAATATGTTTTCAAATTTTGAAAATCTCTATTTTGAGCCAAGTTACAAGCATTTGAACTTGGTGGCCTAGTTTTGGGATTCTAGGCCGCCAACTTCAAATGGTCATAACCAACTTCAAATGGTCATAGTGCAAAATAGAGATTTTCGAATTATTAAAACAGATTTGAAATTGACATTTTTTGCCTGTCAGTTTGATGTACAATATGACCTAGAAATTTCAGCTTTGGATTTCTAAGCCACCAATCTCCAACGGCTGTAACTAGTATAATAAATTCAAAACGACAATTTTTTGGTCATGAATTGTTTTATATCAAATTTACCGACTGCTCGTGAGGATTCTGAATCTATTTTCAAAATTAGAAAATCTCAGTTTTGAGCAAAGTTACAGCTATTTGAAGTTTGTGGCCTAGTTTTGAGTTTCTAGGCCACCAACTTCAAATGACTACAACTTGGTTCAAAATTGAGTTTTTCAAATCTCAAAATTAGTTTTGAAATCGCCATGACTAGCCTGTCATAATGATATACAGTATGAATTAGAAAATTCTATATTTGGATTTCTAGGCCACCATCAATAACCAACCTAACATTTTTCAGGTCGGTATGCATCTCGAGGCGGCTGACATGTGTGAGAATCAACTAATCTGTCCGGCCACAATCAAATCCATTCATGGACGTCTTATCAATGTCAATTTCGACGGATGGGATGAGGAATACGATGAGTTGTATGATATTGAGTGAGTTTTGGAGGTCCAAAATAATGATTTTCTAATTTTTGCCGTTTTCCCGACAACTTTGGTAATTGAACGTTATCAAATTCGGATTTCTCACAAAAAACTAGCCTAGAAAACTTTTTTCCAAGCTCAAAATCACTCGTGGCCTAGTTTTTTCCATGGTGGCCTAGAAATTTCAAAAACTCGGCCGCCAAGGAAAATCTCTGCCGCCAAGGAAAAATGTTTTTTCATGTCTTCAGGGGTAGTTTTTGATGGGAAATCGAAAATTAATGTTAAAAGCGTCAAAAAATGTGCAAATTATAGTGAAAAAGGGATTTTGTCCACGATGGCCTAGAAATTCCAAAAACTCGGCCACGAAGGAAGATTTATTTTTCTTAAGGTTTAGGGGTAGTTTTTTACTTTCATACTGACATAAAGCATAGATGAGCTTGGAACCTTCAAAATTGTAATTTTCAGCTCGCACGACATCCTTCCCGTTGGCTGGTGCGAATTCTACGGCTACAAACTACAAAAACCGAAGACTTAATTTTTTTTCACAATTCTCATATCACTTTTATCTATTTCTTAACACTTCAACCCGCTCAGATTCTCATGTCATAATTATAAATCTCTTTTAAAAATGAATTTTTTGTAAAATTTCAAAAAAAAAGTTTTTTTTAATTTTAAATCTCAACATTGTTCTCGTGGAGTACACCAAAAGATGGGGAAAAAATTCAAATGTCATAACATAAGACCCATAAAAAGGGGCATACGAAAAGTAAACATAGACACCTGTCTCCCCCAGTAATGGGAAATTTTTGAATTTCCCTTTTTTCCCCTTTTGTTTTTTGAATTTTTTGAGTTTAGGCCTTTCGAAAAGTAGGTCAAAGTGAATCGATTTTTCTGAAAATTTCAGAGTATACTAAACAAAAATAGAGCTTCATTTTTGTTGTTAACACTTTTTTATGAAAATCGATTCCTGGAGAGATACGGTAGTTTTTGTAGAAGAACCCTATTTTTTGGCGATTTTTGGGTCATATTTTTTGGAACTACCGTATCTTTTTAAGGAGCGATTTTTCAAAAAAGTTGTCAACTACAAAATTCAACCTCTATGCTATGCTTATATAATTTTAATCTAAAATTTTCAAAAAATTTGGACCACTTTGATCTACTTTTGTGGATGCTTAAACTTGACACTGAAAAAGCTTTTTAAAAAATTTTTCAGGTATTATGGACCAAAAACTTTGTGTGGTCTGTGGAGCCATATCCAAAATCAAAATCTTTGGAATTAACGTTTGTTCAGCTTGCAAGGTAAGTAAGATGTTTCAGAACCATGTCATTTCGCAACTATTTTGAAACCAGACGTTTTAGAACGGCTACCGTATCTAGTAGGAGCCCTGCCTATGAGCCCAATTATTTTTGTTTCTATGAGAGATAACAAAAAGTGGTCAACTGATAAAGTGTTACTGATAATATGATAAAAATTTTATCAATTGACAAATTCTTGATATCTGTTAAAGGAACTGAGATAATTGAGCTCAAAGTTTGGCTACAACGAAGCAATGACGGCTTATCGGCTGCTCTAAGGGAACCTTAACCTTAAGCCCATTTTTCTCAATTTCTGTAATAGATATCAGAAAGTAATCAACTGATAAAATGTAGGTGATATTATGATAAACATTTTGTTAGTTGATTAATTTTTGATATCTATCACAGGAAATGAGAAAACTCGGTTTGAAATTAGGGTCCCTTTAGAGACGGCAATAATCCGCCGCTGCTCCGTTGTAGCCAAACTTTGGGCTCAATTATTTCGGTTCTTGTTAGAGATATTAAGCTTTTGTCAACTAACAAAGTGTTTATCATAATATCAGCAACATTTTATCAGTTGATCACTTTTTGACATCTCTCATAAGAAACGAGATATGCGGACTCAGAATGTAGGTATAGGCTTGGCTGCTATTTTTTGTAAACCACGGTTCTGAAACGTCCAGTTCTAAAATGGTCAGTTTCGAAATGTCCAAAATCTCTGCTGTTTCAGTCGTTTTATCAATTCTGGAAGCGTCAAGGACAATATCTCGAATGTGCAAAGAATCAATCTTGTGAAATCACAGAAATTATTCGAAGTTGTACTTTTTGTCGATGGAAAAGATGGCAGGAGAAAGTGCGCTTTACAAGTTGGTTTAAAAAAATATATATTCTCATTAGAGCGCATTTTCAGACGATCCAATAGCTCTACAAACACCTTGTTTTGTCTGTGGACGCAATATGCTTTTACACCATCCTTCTGGAACCAACTACTGTCATGCGTGCAGAGTATGTTGATACAGTAATCCTAAAAGGTACAGCAATTTTTAGGCTTTCTTCACAAGGAACGTTGGCAAGGTTCTTCACTGCGTTGAGAGAAAAAAACAATGTGTATTCAGTAGGAACAACCAGAAAAATTGTGGTTACTGTAGAATGAAAAAGTGTTTGGACGTCGGAATGAAGGCAAGAGGTGGGTTCCTGGAGAAATGAGTCATAACTTTTTACATACTCAGGATTTTTCAAAAATTTTAAAAGCATACTGTAGAAAAAATGAAGGGCTACAAAATGATATAATTTTTGCAGCTCTAGATTGTTGGCGAGCAAAGTTACATACAAAATACGTTAAGTTAGGTGTTAGGCTAGTAACTTAGCTCATAGACAAGATATAAATTTACAAACTATATCATTTTGTAGCTCTTGAATTTTTCTATTATATTCATTTTGTTTAATATTAAAATCGGAAAAGGGGAAAAAGGTTTGGCTTTGCAAACATCTGATTATCAATCGAGCGTATTTACAACTTTTTACAGAGAAAGTGATGAATTCCAAGGACGCCGAAAAATGCCGAAAAGTTGAGGTACGTACCCTGCCTCCATTTTCGTTTAAAAAATTAAATCAAATTTTCAGGAAATCACCCAAATCATTGAAGAGTTCAAGGCAAACCAGGCGCTGATTAGGCAGCAAATTTTCGAAGGGGTACCGATGAGTTTGGTAAGAATTTTCTTGGAATTTTTCGAATCTCGGAATTTTAAATTCAACTTACCCGAATTTAAAATTTCAAGCGCTTCCGATTGGTAAAAAAGTCAATACTGTAGCTATATTATGAAGCGAGTTATAAGCATTTTTTTAGCTTGAAAGAAGTTCCTTTAAGCTTGACTTCAGTTTTCTTTAAGGTTCCCTGAATCTTCATTTGAGATTTTTTAATAAGCCTTTTCAAAACGAAGCGAGTCATAGGTGTTTTTGAGCCAAATCATTTTCCCATTTTTCAGATTTTTCGCTGTTTCACATGTTTTGAATGTTTGAACAACATGAAATAATAATTTTCCTGTATTTTAATACTTTTTCCTTGAAGATTTCAACTGGCGCGCTTCAAGCATAAACATCTTACTTTACGGTAAAGCATCTTACAGTTATTTTGTGTCAAAAATCATGAAATTTGAATCAGGATTACTGTAGAGGGGTCAAAAATGCAACATTTGACCTATTTTTCATTTAAGCCTGCTTTAAGATTACTATAAGTTTCTCTTAAAGGTGGGGGGACATGAAAAAAAGAATTTTCTCGAAACTCCGTTCATATACGCCCTTGAGGAGTTGAACTTGTGGAGGCGAGGATTAAGGGTGCGGCGCCGCTGCCGACTGAGCCACGCGGGCAAAGAGAAAGCGCACGCCCGATTGCATACATAAAGGCGAGGACGACAGCTGTACGCAGAGTGACATTAAGCGTTGTACACCGTGACGGTAGAATGCATACCCTAGCTCCAAAAAAACTCTAAAAATGCTCCTGTCCCCTCACCTTTAAGCATCTTTTAAGCTGTTTCAAAGCCTATTTCAAGTTTCCTTCAAACTTCTTTTGATTTTCCTTTTAAGTTCCCATAAGATTCTTTTAAGCTTACTTTAAGCATCCGCTCAGCATGTTCAAACCTTGTTTAAAGCTTGTTTGAAATTTGTTTCAAGCTTCCGTTCAAAGAAAGATTGGGACTCGTTTAAACTTCCTTTAAAGGAGGCCAGACACCAAAAAACAAAGTTTTCCTGATATTTTGCATAGAGAACCCCCATGAGGGGTTGAACTCATGACAGGCAGCTCAGGGGTACAGCAATGCTACCGGCTGAGCTACGGGGGCGCGAAGGCGCCTGCCGACCGATGGTCTACATAAGCGCGGCGCGATTTTGTCCCCCGAATTGTCCCCCGAAATTTTTGCTGTCTCGCCTCCTTTAAGCTTCCTTCAAGATTCGTTTGAGCTTCGTTTAAGCTTGCTGTAATCTAGCATTAAACTTCCTTTAAGCTTCCTACAGTATTGCTCTTAGCTTTTACCAAATGTGTTTAAACTTACTCGAAGTTTCTTTGAAACCCTTTTAAAGATTGCTTCAGACCTGTTTCAAGCACCAAAAGCTCGCTGATAGACTAAACTAGGGTTGGCAGAGGCGCTTTGCGCGAGAGCCCCCGAAAGCGTGGCGATCCCTAATTGTGGACCCTCTCTAATTGTGGATCTCTAGCTTAAATTTCCATTTTTCAGTTCATCATCACCCAACCCAACATCAGCCAACTAACCCATCGTCTGAACGCTTGGCAAATTTTCTCAAGCCATATGAACCAAGAAATTTTGAATCTCATCTACTTCTCCAAATCCATCCTATCCTTGGACCAAATGACCGTTCAGGATCAGCTGGCTTTGACTAAAAAGACTATTTTCAAAATGTACCTTCTCCATGTGGTCCCTGTGATTTCCCTAAAAGGCCTGGTCCTTCGAAATGGGCAATGCATAGACTTCAAGTCTTTGGAACTTCTATATGGAAATAAATTGGCCAAGAAGGTTCTAGAATTCTCAGAAGACGTGAAGCATTTGAGCTTCTATAAGGAAAATCTGGTCCATGTCCTTGCCTTGATGCTGATCCCAAGATCCCAAGAAGTGCAAAATCTAATTACTGGAACAATAGGAGATTTGATCTACATCCAGCATAAACTAGATATCCTTGGTGAGTCTGAAAATTTGCTCTATTGAGAAGTATGTTTCTTTTTTATTTGTAGATCAAATTTTCCGTGGGACAGTGGTTCCTTGGCTTCGAGAAAACCAGAAATGGATCGAGCTACCGGAGATTTTTGGGGAGATTTTTGAGATTTAGGTAATCAACTAATTATCTTTAATTATTTTAATTTTACTAATTATCAGTTAATTAGCTTTAATTATTTGAATTTTAGGTGGGGAGCAAGCCAGAAGTATCGAATGGACCAATGAATCTCCAATTCTCAAATTTTTAACAAAAAATTATTGTTTCAAGATTTGCATTTCCCACTTATGAAATATTTTCTGCGATTCTACCAATTTTTTCATCTTTTTCAACTTTTCTTATCAATCTGAACTGTATAACAACCTAAAAATCGAATTCCTCACAAAAAAAACTGGTCTAGAATCATATATTACCGAGTAGCTTGCTCGCATGGCCTAGCTTTTGCCTTGGTAGCCTAGAAAATTCCAAAACTCGGCCACCAAAAAAACTTTTTGTTTTTTCATGGTTTCAAGGGTAGTTTTTGATAGAAAATTCGATTCTTCTAGCAAAAATCGACAAAAACTAGTCAAAATCTAAGTTTCCTACAGTAATCTTGAATTATTTCTTTCAATAAATATTCGTATCTTTTTTTATTGGAATTTCGAAGGTTTATTTTTTTATTCGTTTATGTATACAGAAAGAAACAGAATTCATGATTTAGCCTAACACTTTGACAAAATTCTGAAAGAGCAAAAGTCTTATATTTTCTTAATTTTTCATTTCTCACCTCCTCCTCTCTCCCCTCCTCTACCTTCCCGCTTCCCCTGCGCCTCCTATACGCCATTGCCGCCGCTCCCTTGCGTGCCGTCGATAGCTCAGTTGGTAGAGCGGAGGACTGTAGAGTCAGTGGGTATCCTTAGGTCGCTGGTTCGAATCCGGCTCGACGGATGTCTTTTTTGCGTTGTTTTTCAAACGAGTTTACGGTGTTAATGCTAATTTTGTAGATCGATAATGCTCTTTTCGCTAGAAAATGCCAATTTTTTCTTGTCTTTGTCAGTACGACGCTCCGCTATCCCGTTTTCGCACTTCCCCAGTCTGCGTCTCCTATTCCCCCTCGTCACTCCCTCTCTCTTCGCTCGCGTCGCGGTCATGCGTCGCGGTTCTCGGGGGGAAATTTAAAGGCGCATATGTGGTCCGTATTGGTAATTGGTTATTTTTTGGGTCAAAAAAATTTTGTGGACCAATTTTGTAATTTTTTCTTCGATTTGTATATTTTTCTTTAAATTGGAAATTTTCAGAAACAACAATGGCCAAGGGACATCGTCGTTCGTCATCGAGATCTGGGTATTTTTATTTTTTTTTACTTTTTCAAAATTTCAAATTTAGACACCAAACCTCCCACTTCCAAGTGCACCATAGCAAACGTCGTCCAAAACGGGCTGCTCGTGATCAGAAAATCCAAAAATTCGATGAAAATTCCGAAGAAAGGTCTGGAGAAAGGTCTGGAGACTCTGGAATAAAAAAAATCCTGGACCATGTTCATCTCCCAAACCACTATGTGGAGTATAAGGTGGTTCTGAACAACGGGAAAAGACGCCAAATCAGCGAATTTGATTTCCAGGTGAGATTTGAGTTTTTGGAATTGAGGATGAGCAATTTTCTGAATTTCAGGACAACATTGACATGCTCATCGCCTACAAAAATCATATCACAGGCCAACCGGATAATGAAGATGAGGGTAAGTCTTAAAGGTTTAAGTTGAAAATTTTTCAAAAATTCCAGACTTCGCTATTGACAAAATCCTGGCCCACCGATTCGTGGATAAGAAGCCATTGTTTTTGGTCATGTGGGAAGGCTACCCGAATCCAGTGTCCCATTCGGAGCTCTGGGAGGAAGATCTGCAGGTGAGCAATGGGGCGAGGTCTGGAAAACCGTCTCGAGCTAGACCGCCTCTAAGTTTCAGAGCTCAGAAAACCAGTTTGCGCTTTTTGGATCTTTTCGAAATTTGGTAGCTATGCTAATCAAGACTAGAGCTTTATTTTTGTAGTTGACAACTTTTTTCAAACATTGAACCCTGAGGAGATATGCCCTATAGAACTGCAGCTAACATTTGCACATACCGTAAATAATGTCTACTTCAAGTTCCTACAATAATTATTCAAAGTTTTTTAATCTTCTTGAAATTTGGTGACCATACTAATCAAAACAAGAACTTCATTTTGGTATTTGACAACTTTTTTGTAACATCACTCTTAGATGAGATACAGTCTGTAGAAGTGATGCAACCCAGGGGCGCGCCCAGGGAGCCGATGATCGCGCGTTCACCAGGTCCCTCACTTCCACGTGGCATATCTTTCCAGGGAGTGGTTTTTCAAAAATGTTGTCAACTACAAAAATAAAGCTCTAGTTTTGTTTAGTATACTCACAAAGTTTTAAAAAGATCTTAAAAGCGTTATTTGGTTTTCTCAAACTGAGGTCACTTTTAGTCGAATACTAAAAGCAAATGCGCTCTATAGCTAACATAACTGTTAACTGAGTTTTTGAATATTTTTGGAATTTGGATACTATACTAAACAAGACTACAGCTACATTTTGGTAGTTGACAACTTTTTTGTAAAATCACTGTTAAATGAGATACGCGTTAAAGAAGTGCCGCACTCCAGTGCGCCTTAGGAAGGGGCGATGAGCGCGAGCTCCCTAGGGCGAATCACTTCCATGCAAACGGTGAGTTTTTCACTACCGAATGCGAAACAGTCTGCGACGTTTTAAAGTACAACGGACAAAAAAAATCTGATTCATTTTTTTACTATATATTCTCCATAAAATTTACTAAAAATTTTTGGAACAGAAAAAAAAGTTATGGACTAGAATTCGAGAAAAAAAAATTCCAAAGTTGAAGCAGCGGTAGTGAAAAACTCACCGTGCCACGTGTCATATCTCTCCAGGCAGCGGTTTTTCAAAACAGTTGTCCGTAAGAAATGAAGCTCTAGCCTTGTTTAGTATACACACAAATTTTCAACACTATCCGAAAATTTCTGATAATTTCTAAGGCACCGAAAGTTTGTCACTTTTCACCAATTGTTGATTTTTCTAGGCTATTTTTCAAACTCTTTTCCAAACCATCAAACTCAAATTTCCGCGTATTTCAGTCCTCCAAAGACCTTCTAAAGGCCTACATGGACTCTCACGACATGAACGCTCCAGACACCAGTGACGACGATTCAGAGCCAGATGAGCCAGAAGAGGAGAAGGAGGAGCCAAAAAAGCAGAAATCGGGATACTCCATGAAGGATCTCAAGGATTCAGATGACGATGAGATCGATGTGGAAGAAGTCAGGAAGACTAGAACTTCTCCAAAAAAGGTTCAAAATGGGAGGACCAAGGATTCAGATGAGAGTGATGTTGAAGAAGCCCGTAAGGCTGGAACTGCGCCAAGAACATTTAAAAATAAGAAGGAGAAGAAGCAAATGAAATCCAAGGACAAGAAAGGCAGAAAAGCTAAGGAGCCCGAGGAAGATGAAGGTAAGTAGTCTAGTTTCTACATTACCAGACTAACTTTGAAATTTCAGAAGAAGAGGACTACGTCGTCGAACGAATCGTCAGCCACAGAGTACACAGGAACAAGATTCTGTACAAAGTTATGTGGGAAGGATACCCGAAGGAAAAGGATCATACAGAGATGGAGGAGAAGGACTTGGAGGTGAGCAGCAGAGCGAGTTTGAGAACTGAGAAAACTAGCTCAAAATTTTTCAATCATTTTCAAATTTGGTGAACATACTAAACAATACTAGAGCTACATTTGTTTAGTTTACAACTTTTTGAAAAACTGCTCCCTGGAGAGATATGCCACGTGGAAGTGATGTGACCTAGGGAGCTCGCGCTCACCGCCCCTTCCTAACGCGCACTAGCTAAAAAGTTGTCAACTACAAAAATGAAGCTCTTGTTTTGTTTAGTATGGTCACCAAGTTTCACATTGATTCAAAAAGTATGAAACCCTTTTGTAGGCTTGCGAAATTAGCTCATATTTTTTGAGCGATTTTCTCCCTGTTACTTCCTAGCTAACTTTCTAGCTAATTTTGTCTGTAAAACCAAAAATTCCTTAATTTCCAGGACTGTAAGGAGATCCTTCAAGCTTACAAAGCCGCCCACATGACCCCTGTAGATAGTTCTGATAGCGACTCTGTTCAAGAAGAAGCTCCACAGTCGCCGAGAAAAACGTTTGAACGGCAGGATTCAGAGGATTCAGATGACGAACCAGAACAACCAGAATCCGAGAAGAGTAGCCCAGCCAAGAAGTCAAAGGTAGCCGTCTCCTCGGATGATGAAGAAGAAGATGAACAACCAAAATCCGTAAAGAACAGCCCACCCAAGAAGAGCTTTTCCAAAAAGTCCAAGGTCGCCGTCTCGTCGGATGAGGAGGAAGAGGAGGAGGAAGACAAGAAGACGTCAAAGAAGGATTTCAAGAAGTCATCATCGTCAAAGAAAGAATCCGATGTTTCTGAGGACGAAGGTACAGTAGACTTGTTTTCTAGATTTTCAGAAATATCCTAAAATTTTCAGAGGACGAAGAAGACTACGTCGTCGAAAAGATCGTCAGTCACCGAACGGTCAAGAACAAGGTACTGTACAGAGTTATGTGGGAAGGGTACCCCAAGCCAAAGGACTATACAGAGATGGAAGAGAAAGATTTGAAGGTGAGCAATGATTTTGGAAAAGTTTAACTGTAACCCTTAAAAAAGCAAAAAAACATCAAAAATTGGTGAAAAGTGATCAACTTTGAGTGCCTTAGAAATTATCAGAAAACTTTCGGATTGTCTTGAAATTTTGTGACTATACTAAACAAGACTAGAGCTTCATTTTCGTAGTCGACAACTTTTTCATAAAACGGCTCTCTGGAAAGATATGCCACGTGGAAGTAGCGGGCACCTCCAGCCATCGAGGTGAGGGGTGGTGGGCGCGCGCACTAGATCGCACCACTTCTACAAGCTGTATCTCATTTAGGAGTGATTTTACAAAAAAGTTGTCCACTTCGAAAATAAAGCCCTTCTTTTGATTGATATACTCCCAAATTTGCAACACAATCCAATGAGTCAGTCAACAGTTAAGTTAGCTATAAAGCGCGGTTGCAACTAGAACTCAACTAAAAGCACCTAAGTTTGAGAGCTCTGAAAACTACTTTAAGTTTTTTAGACAAATTTGGAATTATGTGAGCATACTAAACAAAACTAGAGCTTCATTTTTGTAGTTAACAACTTTTTTGTATAACAGCTCCCTAGAAAGATATACAACGTGGAAGTGGAGCGATCCTACCCGAGAGGAGAGGGGTGGTGGGCGGCGAACCTTGGCACACTGGGCGCGCACTGGATCGCCGCACTTCTACAAACCGTATCTCAGCTAGGAGCAATTTTACAAAAAAGTTGTCAGCTACAAAAATAAAGCTATAGTCTTGTTTAGTATTGTCACCAAACTTCATAAAAATTGAAAACGTTTGAACGTCTTTTGTACGCTTTTGAAATCAACTAGTCTATTTTCAGGATTGCCCCAAGATCCTCAAAGCCTACAAGGACTCGTTGAAGAAGAAGGATTCTGAAGACGAGTCAGATGAGGAAGAAGGCGTTCCAAAAAAGAAGAAGATGTCCAAGAAGACCAAAAAGACAGGACACTCCATGAAAGAATTGGTGGATTCAGACGACGAAGATGACTGTAAGAAATTGGGTCCATCAAAGAAGGATCTGGTGACTACGGTAGATGAGATGGATGCCTCGGATTCAACATCTTCAGACTCGGAGAAAGAAGAAGACGTGAAGAAGACGCCAAAGAAGGCGTCACGTCGTGAGGTGTCTGATGATGAGGAGGAGGAGGACCAGCAGCCTTCGAAGAAGAAGCAGAAGACGTCAGACACTCCAACAAGAAGACGTTCTGGAAGATAAATATTTGTTTTTTCCCACACCCCATTTGTCCCATCCATTTTATCAAAAATCTCATTTTCTAAGAATCCTAGACCCTAATTCTCCCCCTATGCAACTTTCCCTGTCCTCAATTACAGTAATCTCAATTTTCAAGTTTCTAGGAATCCTAGGTGCTTATCCCCTAACCAAATTACCTACCGTAACCAGAGAATTCTGAAAATAAATTGTCAAATTACAACTAAATTGTCTTAAAATTCCCCATCAAATGATACTAAAATCAATGTTCTAGGTCCAAAAAAACAAAAGTTATGAAGTTTCGAAATTGAGAAAAAATTCTAACAATTGGTCCAAAACGAGCCAAAACTGCTGATAATGCGTTGGTGGCCTAGAAATACAGAATCTTGGTTTTCTAGGCCACCAAATCCAAAGTGGATTCACTTGAAATTTCCTATAGAATGGTACTGCACAAATACAAAAGTTATGAGGTCTCGAAAATTGGAAAAAAGGAGCCGAAACAGCCGAAAATAGTTTGGTGGCCTAGGATTGGTTTTCTAGTCCCCGAGACCCAAATTTTGATACTTGCTTCTAGAATCACCGACATTGGCTCTAAAAATCAAAATTCAAAATCTCCAAAATCTTCAAAAAAAAACTTTATTCAGTTCCAAAAAACTCTCCAAATCACAAAAATCATATAAATCAAAAATGAGTTCACATCCTTCTCGATTCCTCCACTTGCATTAAACTTATCCCTCTCAAAATAAACCTCCAATTCTCTCTCATCCAATTCATTCACATATTCCACTTCCACTTTGAAATCATTCGGCTCCTCAAAATCCGTCTCAACGTAATCAGTGAGATTTGAATTTGGGTTGGGAGGGATTCTTGGAGAAAGTGAAGCATTTGGTTGTGTGGAACTTTCCAGAATATTGGGATTCTGTGTAGGAGGAGGCGGAGTTGGAGGGGGTACTGTAGTAGTCGTTGGTGGAATGATTGGAGGACAGATGCCCGAGAATTCACAGACCGCGTCCTGGATGAAAGCCATATTGTAAAAGTAGACTCCGTCTCCATGGATATCATGAGGGCTATTTGTCTTCACTCCAAGAACGACTGCTGTTCCACTAGAGTTGTACACCAATGGTCCACCAAGATCGTTCAAGACCATGTACTTTTCTGTGAATACCCATCGGGCGTTGTCAAATCCTCTGTCGACCCCTCCCGATGTGTAGAAATGTTCTATCTAAAATCAGACACTTTAAATCATAATTGCGATAGTTTATTTCAGAGCCAATGTCACTGGTCCAGTTAAAATAGTCATGATATAACTCGGCGAGCACATTGTTATTTCTCTCACTTACTACAACCCTATGATGCTTCATTTGTTGCCGATCGAAACCGTATGCATGCGTTTCTCTCATTTCGTACCCTTCCTCTCCTCGAAGTTTAAAAGTCTCTGAAACATTCTAACATGAATACAACCAAAAATCTTGAAACTCACTATCTGCCAGACATGGAATGTCAGAAGGATCCAGGTCGAGAGGTTTGGAAAGTTCTAGCAACGTTACAGGGGTATTGCCATCCGCTTCACAGGCCCAGAACATATGTGCCTGAAGAAATCACATTCCGTAAAATGCAGTCCAAAACCTATGTCATAAATCACGCCGCATCGAACATCAAGATTTCGCTTTTTTGAACGATAATCGTAAAAAACGCCCGCGTTTATTTTGAAAGATGTAATTTTGTCAAGTTACCGTAAACACTCTAATAGAACGCCACCCAGACCATCCACTTTGAGCCTATATATCTCACTTATTTTGGAAGATATCAAAGAGTTGTCAACTAATAAAATGGTTATCATGATATCAGCAATATGTTATAAGTCGACCACTTTTTGATATCTCTCACAGAAAATGAGATACATGAGCTCAAACTTGACGATTCGGGTGGCGTTCTATTAGAGTGATTACGGTGTCTGGGGCGCGATTTCTGACAAAGCATTTTGGACTCTTGGTTTACCTTTGTAACATTAAACGTCTTCCCTTTGAATACTACTTCTACATGTTTGAAAAAAACATTTTCAACGTGGAGGTGGCTGAAAATTGGTTACTGTAGAACCAACCAGGAGGCCCAATACTTTGAGCTCATATATCTCAATTTCTATGACAGATATCAAAAAGTGGTTAACTGACAAAATGTTTATCACATTATTAATGATATTTTATCAGTTGACAACTTTTTTATATCTTTTACAGGAACAGAGATATATGCGCTCAAAATTTTAACCCACCCATCCTGTGTACATCCGGTGACGGGTTTACTACTTGCGATCCATTTGTTTTGGCGGTTGTCCTTGTAGGTCAAAACTTGCGCAGAAGTGAGCACGTGTCTTTGGGATATTGGAAATCCTGTGGACATGGATTTTTCAATCTTGGATTTTTCAATATTCGTTTGTTCAACCGACGCCAGCCACGTTTCGTTGAGCTTCACATCTACTCCTTCTTTGTCCGTGGAAGGCTGGGTTGAAAGTTTTTTTGCGTTATTCGAATACAATTTTGAAAGAAACAGTTAAAATCCCACTTGCACAAGCCAGAACCTTCAAAATGAGCTTAAACACGACTTGGCCATGGTGACCGAACTTTTGCATCTGGTGGTCTAGAAATACATTCCACGCCAATCAGATTTATTGTTATGTTCTTGTCGTTAAATGCG